GCCTCCCCCCGGGCTCGGCCTCCCTGCCCCGCCACCGGGGCCTCCTTCTCTCCCTCCGGGCGGGTGCCTCGGCCTCGCTCGGACGTGTCGGGGCCGCCTACGATCTTGGCATCGCTCGGAGGTGTGCGTTTTGCCTTCGGCGAGGGCCATCGAGGAGCATCCTTGTTCATTTGGCGAAAAAGCCACGCGCGAAACCGAGAAAAACAAAGGGGATGGACGTCCGAGCGATGGCGAGCGATCCGATTCGGTGCGAGTCGATTCGCCGGCTGGGGCCGCGATTCCAGTTCGGTGCCCTCTGGGTCCCTTCGCCGGCATCGGCCAGGGCCAGCCAGAAGCGGGGCGCGGCGATTCGGTGCCGATCCGACTCGGACGATTCGCTGGCGATTCGGTCCGCTCTCGATCCAATCCGATTTCGCGATCCGATCCAGCGCAGACCTGCGTGTGCATTAGGTTTTTGGCGAGGACCATCGAGGAGCATCCATCTTGGGTCATCTGGCAAAAGAAGACGCACGAAACCGAAAACAAGTGCACGGGGAATGGACGTCCGAGCGATGGCAAGGTGCGTGGAGTGTTTTCTTCACCCCCCTCTGGGCCATAACGTGCGTTATGCCCCCTCTTCTTCTCCCCCCTCCCCCCCAATAACGTAACGCTCCCCACCTCAGTGCGTCCCTGACACAGCCGCAGTGCGTGCGGCACCACTGTCTGGGAGGTTGGGCGTTACGTTGTGGCCCCCCCGCTCCCACCCTCAATAACGCCTTTCATCGCCGCGAATTAAAAAAATGCGCTCGTGGGTTCTCAGAGTGGTACCATCGACGTTGGTACGGAAACAGTGGGTACGAAGACCGACCGCGTTTCTTACCCATTTTGGTCTGGATTCGAAGTCGGCGTCGCCACGGACGAGGCCCATTTGAGGCACGAGGCCGTCTGCGCCACAGCGGCCGCGGTCGGCTTTGGACAGCATTTGCTGTTGGGCTCCCCCCAGGCTCGTGTTAACCTGAGCTTTGGCGGATTCGTGGGCCGTTCTCGTTTGGACTCTGCTTTGCAGCGGCTGCGGAGCGAAGACGGAAAGCGAGGGAGAGCGAAAACATAACGAGAACGCAACACAGTGACTAGTCGAGCCCTGCCTCTCCCTCCTGACGGGGGGCGTGGGCCCTCCGACGCGGCACGGAAGGCGCGGCCACCTCAAATGAGCCCCACTGAGTTGGCGTTGCCCGCGCCTGTGTCGGCTTGGAGTTACCCTTGGGCCGTCCTCCTCCACTTCCGCCTGGGAAGGCTTTGGGCTGCGCAGAGAAGCCCCCCCAGGTAGCCCTGGCTGGCCTCAACAGGTCCCCCGAGTAGCCGCAGCTGGCCTCCACGGTCTCAACACCCTGACCCTGGGCGCCGCCGGAGCAAGGTGTCGAGACCGCCTGGGGCCACTCCAGGGGCCTGTTGAGGCAAGCTGTGACTGCTCGGGGAGCCTGTTGAGGCCAGCCGGGACTGCCTGGGGGGGGCGGTCTGTGTCAAGCAGTGGCGAAGCGTCCTGGCTCGCCTAAAGCCCTACCAAACAATGTTCTAGGAACCTTTTGTGGTTTCCACGAAATGTTGTTAGAACGCTTCTGGCTGGGACTGTCTTGTTTCAGCACATCGGATTCATGCTCTAAGAACACTGTTTTGGTTCTTAGAACATTTTGGGGTTCTTGATCCTGTCTTGATCCTGACCGCCTGCGGGCCTCCCGCCCCGCGAGCAACCGACAGCGCGTCCGACCTCTCCCTGGAATAATCGGCCGCGGCTCGCCAACCTGGCCCATCCAATCGCGACTCGCCGCCCCTTTACCGACGAACGCAGTCCCCAAGTAGTCGGGGCTAGCGATCGCGCGCTGTGGTGGAGTGGTCAAGGGCGCGCCAATGTTATCCCAGATTGGCCGACCGCGGTTCGTCATCGAGAGCATGGCTCATCACGTCCCGAGATCCGGCGATAGTTGCGTTGGAGCGTGAAAACATGTGGATCGCGGTTCAGACTGTTTGGCCTCCGTTCGACAAGGTCGACAGCTACCTTCCCTCAGTTTGACAGTACAGCCGGGGCGCTGAAGAAGGAACCCTTCTCGTTTGGGAGGGGCTCATTGTTCCTTAGTTGTTTCACAGTTTGCCTTCGGTTTTCCTCAGGTCTCGATGGGAAATCGAAGCTTAACTTACGGACAAAAGGGGTCTCGTTCCTTATTTAGGGTTCCTTAGGTTAACGCGCCGACTGTACGCAGTAATACTGTTTCGACGGTGGGGGTCGCAACCCTGCATTGCAATATCCAGTTTCGGTCAGCCGTTGCGTGTCTCCTATACAGTCGGGGCCCTGAAGAAGGAACCCTGTTCGTTGGGGAGGGGCTCCGCGTTCCTTAAGTGTTTCGCAGCTTGCCTCAGGTTTTCCTTTTGTTTTCGATCGGAAATCGAAGTTTAACTTATGAAAAAAAGGGGCCTCGTTCCTTATTTAGGGTTCCTTAGGTCAACGCGCCGACTGTACGCAGTACTATTGTTTCGACGGTGGTGGTCGCAACCCTGCATTGCACATATCCAGTTTCGGTTAGCCGTTGCGTGTCTCCTGTTCAGCGAGCGAAGAACGGTATAACATAAACTTTTTCGCCGTCGGGGGCACCTGCCCCTGGGCGGCTGGAAAGTCTACACCCCTACGGTGCCACCGTAAGGGTATAAACTTTCCAGCCGCCCTGGGGCAGGTGTCCCCGACGGCGGAAAAGTTGATTTTATACCGTTCTTCGCCCGTTAACCTATACCGGAAACCCATCCCCAGGCGCCTCGGGGCCGCAGCACACCAGGGGCCCCCAGGATCCCGGGCCTCCAAGAGCCTGGCATCGCTCGGACGTGTGCATTTTTCTCGGCGAGGGCCATCGAGGAGCATCCTTGATCATTTGGCAAAAAACCACGCGCGAAAACAAAAAAAACACAGGGAATGGACGTCCGAGCGATGGCCAGAAGAGGGTCTCAAGATGGTCCCAAAGAGCCCCCGAGCTCTCCCAGCAGGCCCCCAGCCTTTTGCAGAGACGCCAATGCGGCCTCAAGAGGTCGCCGAAACGTCAAAACTAAAGGAATTCCCAGCTATCTTAATTCTTTTTTTTTTTAGTTTTCAAATGTTGGCAAAGGGCGGCTCCACGATGGCATCGGAACGCCGACAGGTCCCCAAGAGAGCCCAACGATTGCCTAACGATGGCCCAGGACTGACTCGCGAGAGCTCCAAGGAAGCCGAGGACGGCCCCTGGAGCAGCCCAAAGAACGCCCCGAGTGGACGCCGACAAGGATCAAGACAACCTCAGACTGTCCAAGAGTGCTCCCAGAGTGGCTCAGGATGGCCCAGGAGGGCCCCAAGACGGGCCAACATGCCCCCAAGACGCCGCCAAGACGGCCCGAAAGGTCCCCAAAGCAGCCCAGGAGGCCCGCAAGACAACCCCGAAACGGCCCCAAGATGCTTCCAAGGCGGCCCATCTGGCATGCGTCCAGGCGACCGTCCAGACGGCAGAAATGCCCTCCCCCACGCAGTGCGGCGTATGGCCCCCAAGGTGCGTCCGATCTCCCCAGGATTGCCGCAGAAAGCTCCCGGGACGCCCGCTACAGGCCCACATGCCGCTTCCACCATGCCCCACGGACGCCTCCCGGACTCAAGATCAGGATGAATTTAATCATGGGCAGAGTAATGCGAGAATCATGAGGTTGCGGCTCGCAATGTTGAGGTTGTGGTTTCTGTTGGCTTTGTGTTGTGGCCTCTTGCGTATTGGATGCGTTTCCTGTTGCGGGCGCTGAGTTTGACCGTTTGTTCACATACTTTTCCCCTCCCCTCCCCATCATCATGTCGCTCCTGCTCCTGCGGATTACTGCTCCTCTCTCTTCCACCTCCCTCCTCTTCCTCCTCCTCGAGGCAGGGGAAGTGATGAGGGGAGTCGGAAATGAGAGGGGGTGGAGGGGAGGGGGAGGGACTGGGCGGGGCGGCAAGAGGAATAGAAGGAGAGGCGGGAGGGAGGGAGGGGGGCAGGAGCCACTGGGTAGGTTGCCTGTCCGACCGCCCGCGCGCCTGCTTGCCCGTCGTCGTCCTCTCGGTCGCCCTTGTCGCCGCCGTCGTCGTCGATCGAACGACGAGCACATCGAAAATCGCGGGCGATGCTGGCCCTTTCTGGGCTTCCTGAGGCGGCCTCAGGGGGCGACCCCTGGAGATCTTCGGAATCTGCCGAGGATCGAGGCTCGAGGACCCAAGTTTTGGGACATTGCTGGTCTGTTCTGGGCCTCGGCGAGGTCGCCCGCGGCTGGATCCGTCTCGAGATTCTGGCCAACACGCGCGACGTCGCCAGCGTCGTCGTCCGTTGTCGGCGTCGTCCGGCGTCGTCGTCGTCGTCCGTTGTCGTCGTCGTCGTCCGTTGTCGGCGTCGTCGTCCGTTGTCGGCGTCGTCCATCGTCGTCCTCGTCCTCGTCCTCGTCCTCGTCCTCGTCCTCGTCGTCCTCGTGGTCCGTCGTCGTCATCCGTCGTTTTCGTCATCATCGTCGTCGTCGTTGGCGTTGTCGTGGTCTGTCGTCGTCGTCCGTCTTCGTCGTCGTCGTCGTCGTCGTCCGTCGGCCGTCCGTGGGCGTCGTCGTCGCCCGCCTATTCGAAAACGAGCCATCTCGCTTCAAACGTGTCGGGCTTCAGCATCGTTTTTTTTTGTTTCCCCCCCCAGGACGTCTCAGGCGAGAGCCCCACTTCTGAAGATCCGAAGATTTCGCGACAGATTTGAACATCTTCGTTCTAGGAGGATGTTTCCTGGTGAAGGCGTCACGATTGGCATGAAGCGTCTTAAACGAGACCATCAAACATTTCCTTTTGCTGAGGATGTCTCAGGCGCAGCACTTGCTTTCGAACCCGTTCCTGGCATGAACGTGAAGCGCGTGAAATAGGCGAGCTCTCCGAACGTCCACAGGGCCTATAATTTACAAGCCTGTTCCTACATTGATCTTCATCGTTATCATCGTCACCATCACCATCACCAACATCA